TTGATTTAAAAAAAAAAAAAAAAATTCTCACTCGGAAAATATGTTTGTTGTGGTTAGACAGTTGAGCCTATGGAGAGCATGCTGAGTTTCATTGAGAAGATGCTAAAGGATGAGCAACATATTACATTAGAGATTGCTGCTTAGTGATGAAAGGAACTGTATTCATTTAGCTTAGATGGCTTTCTAAAAAATGGGGAACAATGAAAAACTTCATCATTTAATACATATATGCATAACATATATGAACAACCTAATTCAGATGAAATTGAAAAATCTTTGAACAACCTAATGCATAACATATATGAACAACCTAATGAGATACAAAATCTTTACCGAACCAAATTCAATGAATAAAGCTTTTAACAACCTAATTCCTGTCAATTCTTCCCGTGATATTCGTCATAATAAAATAATTTAAAGGTCAAACACAATAACAAAAAGGACCGTCGTAGAATACAGGAATTCCCCCAAATTCTGCACGTTACATCTGAATTGAAAAACCATACTATTTTCTGTATGTATGTATCTCTCAGTCATACAAAAGTAAAGATGACCAGCTGCTACTTTGGTGCACTCATTCTTTTTCAATAACTTTAAAAATGATAGTTCATTTTTCATCTATTATCCATTCATGCAAAAAAATCCATTTCAACCCTAAGTACCTCCTCCATGGCGTGATAGTAGAACAGCTCGATAAAGGGCAGCAACATGCAGGAAGCATATGAACACGATGATCACATCATCCAGTAGACCAAAGACACCTAGCAAAGCTATGACAAGAAAAAAAAAAAAGAAAAAAAAAATTGGCTTGTTCAAATTGCAAAAAATCCTCAATAAACAATCACTCACAGTGAACAATGGTTATACCTTCAGGGATGATGTCCACAGGGCTAATAACATATATAAAACTAACCATTATCTGTACATTGGGAGAAACAAACAGATAGTTAAAGGTATATTCGTTTGAAATGAAGTTCCTTGCTTCGTATTATATAAGGGTGTAAAAAACTTAACTGCCAGATAAACGCGTGCCCTGATGACAAATGGCAGTGATCTTTGAGGATCCATGATATCACGTAGCAATCTCTTGAGAAGAAACGGAAGGTCTTGCATTCTCTGCCAAAAAGAACCATAGTAATGTATACAATCAATCATTAACCAATGAAGTTCTAGTGGTTCGTAATGACTAATGAGCACACAATCCACAAGGGCCAAGTACACGAACTTTCGTCCAGATAACCTTTAAAAATCATTCAATTAGACATCATGTCATGGTATATTAAAAACTCCATAAATAATGACTCAAAATCAGTTACTCCAAAAGAAAGATAAAAACAACAAGAAATACAGACATCGAAAAGTTAAAGCATAAAATCTGCCATGGTACCGAACATATCTCAATCTATAATACAGATAACAAACTACATATTTATAAGTTACTAACCTGCATGAGACCATTTGAACGCTCACCATACAGACGATTGTATCTTTCAATCCTTTGCAAAATCTCAGCAACATCAGCCCTATGATTCTGCCTAGACGAAGCCTGACCAGGAACTAGCAAGGTAATCTCACGTCTACAAAGGGGACACTTACACGGGTGAAGAGCAGCTCCATAATCCCACACTTGTAATATACAACCACCTGAAAAGCACCATCATCAGAGGTATCACTCGAATCCCAATACCTTAAAACCAACTTAGTTTAAATATAAAAATTAAAAACCCATGTTGGATGCCAATGCATTTTTCTTATCGAGTCCTCCTATAAAACAAAGACTTCCATTGTATTCTTCGAACAAGATAATAAGCTGGTTTAGTTCATAAGCATCCTGTGCATAGTGATTAAACATGGAGTACTCTTGACATGTGAACAACACTAATCAGCTCAACCGATCCACTTCATTGCATAATAATTCGAATCGGGACAACAGATAATAAATCCGGCCAATGCGATAAACATATACATAAAACCGATAAAAGCAAGCCAGAAATCAAGAACCAGGAGAAGAAGGATAAGAAGAATGACAAAAAAATGCCATTTTTGCTTCTCTCCCCAAAAAAAGGTCCCAGCCTTCAAGCGAACATGACGTTCCCCTTTTTTGCATAATCATAAGAAATCGACAGCCCACTTCATTGTATAATCATTCAATCCAGGAAACAAGCGAATAAACCTAGTCATCAATCACGAATATATGAAAAATCAATAGCCAAAACACATAATTCCAAAAAGATGTCAGTTTCTCAAAAAAAAAAAAAAAAAAAAAAAA